ATCTTTTCGAATTCGTGGAATGGCTGACAACAAGCAGCGATGTACGTGCGAGTATGGCTGACAGTGTCGATGCTACTTGGCTAATGTAATGTGTGTTCGATACAAAAAATCCTTGAAATTTCTTACAGCGTTCAACAGTCCCTGAATGGTCGGCGGTGTGACGTGCAACGGTGTGTATACGTCCTCGGATTCCTGGCGAACGTAGAGCATCACTCGTTCCTCGGCATCTGCTGGACGTAGATGGGGTGGTTGTTGTTGGAGATGTAGTCTGTTCCCGACTCCGGATACCACTGTTCCGGTGAGACCTGCTTGCTGCACTCCTTGTAGCACCGAGCCTTGCAGTTCCTGCACCTGCATCAGCAAGGAGTCCTTCTTGTCGTGCAGGCTAGTCAAATTGTCGGGCGGAAAGTGGTTGTGAAACTTGAGAGCTGGCAAGCTGGGTCTGCCGCAGGCAGGATAAGGGCTGCTGCCCCCCGCCTTCAATCCTCCGCCCTCGCCATTACTTAGGGACGATGTGTCTGTATCGCCACCGCCCCCGCCGCCACCTCCGTAGAAGCCCGACAACTCCATCGTCGAGAACTGTCGTGGAACAAGAAACATACATTTTTCTATCTCCTTTCGAACGAGCTACTTTCTGTGGTACGAACTACAATGATAGACGATATTCACAGAGGTGGAATATAGAAATAAGAAGAGAAGCCTTTTCTATACTATTAAATACATTGAAATATACGTAACTGTATATTACGCACAGGCATTTGTAAAAGATATACATGCACAAATGTAATAATATTTATAGACAAACTTTTGTTTGTATGTGCTTAGTTTGCAAGCGTTTGTATTTAATAATGTAGAAAATATTTCTCTTTCCGTCTCTACATTCCAACGAATAATTGTCTTTCACTGTAAATTGTTTTGTCACATCCTCTCTAATACCCAACATTTTTACAAGTTTTCTTTTTATAGAAAGTTTATAGTCGGTTAAACACAGTGGTCTTTTATCAAGCATTTATAAGCTTGTACTGAATTTTAGTACTGAAGTTCAGAGAATTTTGTATTTGTTGTACAGAGTATATATTTCTGAGGTGCGGAATGGCTGACTAGCTTTTCGATTGGGTACTGCTCGTTCCCGGAAATCACTACGGTTTTTGTTATGGCGATGTAAGAGTTGCGGTTAGTGGAGAGTTTTGGCGGTGTTGAGAGCAGAGGATTGAAGTGGACAGACATATCGGGGGCTATTTTTCACTGAGTAATTTGGTTAGTTCCGTTTTCGCGTTTAAGCCTATTGCAATTCTTGCCAGTTTCCGAGGCCTTAGATTCGAACGACTAACACGTTCACGGTTTCTATTGATGTAGTGAGCTCGATTCGCGAGTCGAATTGTGTGTAGGTGTCCGTGAAGGTGTTAATGTTCGAGAAGTCAGAGTAATATTTTGCTTTGAAATAAAATGAAAAAGTGTTCTGAAGCATACAATGGATACAATATTCTCTTAATAGACTATTAATATTTTTAGAAGAGCATCATCATGATCGTATCTACTTAATTATAGATACAAAAAAGAAAAAAAAAAAGAGAAGAAAAGAAAGCAGAACAAACAGTTTCTTCAGCTTCTATCCAATCAGAAGTCTCGAGAAGTACCTTGTCTATGGTGTGTTCCGCCGGTGGTGAGAAGAGGACGGGAGGTTTATGAAGATCGACCATGGAATAGAATTCGCTGCGTTCCGTGACGGAATGGTAGAGCTCGTCGAGCTTTTTTCTACCGGTAGCCGTCATCTTTCTCTTTGCTGCTCTCCTCTCTTCGTCCCGGGTCTTTCTTTCAGCTCCCTATGCGTAAATAACACCAGAATGATTCATGAGTTCGGTTGGTTCTTGTGATTTTATTCGAATCGCCGGCTGAACGACGTAACGAGACTTAGAAACAACAAGAAAAAGACCAGGCACCTTATCGCAGAACACTTTGATCTGGCAATAGCCACGATGCGAAGGTGGTGTGTACGTGTGGGTGTGCGGTGGCGGTTCCTCGTATGTGTCCACCTGGATGTGCAGAGGCAAACCTTTCACGCCTTTTTGACTGGAGAAATCGGTACTGAGACATTGCACCGCCACGTTTATCTGCAACGTAGAGGATACATGAAAATCATTCGGATAAAATACAGAGACCTTTATCATACGATTGTTGGAGCGCATGAATAAGCACAGTTCCATTTAAGTCTCCCATAGATCGTTAAATGCAAATGGAATCTCTTTAATGAACGATGAAGGATTCTCTCGTACCTTAGCCGAGGATTCGAGTGGGTTCCAATAAACGGCGATCGCATTGTGTGCAACTTCCTCTATGCAGCCAACCAATCCCACGCTGTTCTTCGTGTCTGTAATGGTGTAGATTGTTGTCAGAGTTGCAAATCATTCTACGATGTGCCTCGAAAGGGCACGTTCTTTTCGTTTTCTTTTCGACTCTACATACTGCACTACACGGCTATGGTCAACGATACAGTTCTGTAATTTAATCTTACCAAATTCACGGCCATCCCTTTATCGAGCGGCTTGCGCAAAAAGATACCAATCATACATGTAGAATATGTGATACGACAACGTTATTATAGCGTGAGATTTATTTTTCGTTTGATGAATGCGTGAACTGATTAGGAGGTAATTGGAATGGCCGGTACGTTGCCGGGTTATTTGTTCGCAAGGTTGGTTTTAATGGTGGTAGAAAACTCGGTGATTCTGCACGCTTTACTTACCAGCATCGAGAATACGTTGCTTGACAGAATGTTGCCTTCCGTGCCAGAACTGCCACGCCTTAATCTCGTCTTCTGGGCTCTTCTCTTCTCGGAACATCAACATTACCACGCTCTGCGCGACAAAACATCAAGAAAACACCGTAAGTACTTTATTAAGCGTGATACTGTAAGGGCAGATGAATGGTTTCCGCTGACGCGTTTACTTCTGTCTTTTTCATCTTTTTTTTTTTTTTTTTTTTTCAGCAACGGATTAAACAACTTTTTCGCCGCTACATTTTGCTAACTCCAGCAATGCTTTACTACAGGTACGCATAATATACGCATTTTTTTCAATGATTATTTTCACTTGTTTTTTCTCTTTATTTTTTTCTTTTTATAGATAAATTTTGCCTGTTTGAATGTTTTAGCCAATAATTTCATGTAGCAAACTCAGATAGGCAAACGAGGGAAAACCACTGATCTACAACTAACATTTAACATCCAGAGATCTAAATAGATGTGAAGTTGGTGGTAATGATGATCAGGTGGACTTGTATTGAAATAGAAGGTGATTAGAGAAATAAGTATATAGAAAGTATTCTACGAGCGAGATTCTACGATAAAGGCATGTATTTATTCCATTCCTTTTTTATCGTTTCGATATGTAAAGATAAAGAAAAAGTATAACACATAGAATACATAAAGCAAAGATGCGTATAAAAGAAATATGTACAGTATGAAGGAAATAATTTAAAAAGCCAATCGCCGCGGTTGAGTCAAGAATTTAGAATTTTAGATCGTGCTCGAGTGTTTGAACGATTACACGGATCATAAATTATACGGTAGCGTGTAATTATGTAACGTAAATTATAGATTCTAACATCGATAGGCTACAATGACCGGTTGTGGCTAGTCGCGGAAGATTTTTCAAATTTTACGCATAATGACGAGCATGACGCATCTGTCGGTATCATTTGCTCACAATGATCCGTCGAGACAATGCTCGGTCGGTAACGGAACACCGTCGTGGAATCTGCTGATGCATCGGTCGCGCGGCACGCGAAACACGAAATTCGCGTGAGCGTGGCATCGTTCGCGCGACGCGAGGACACGCTCGAGCGAATGACGGCGTTCACACACGCACACGCACAGAGAAACGTTTAATAAATCACGGCGTACCGTATAATCCAGTAGCATAAATTACAACATTCGACACTGCTAATTCCCAATAAACCACCATATATCCTAAGATAACCGTGTTTTCAACGTTTTTCCGCCGGTAATGTGTCCAGTCGAGCAATCCTGATACGTTGGTAAAAATGTCGCGAATGGGCAAGGCGCAATTATATTGATTAATCGAGAAAGAGACAGAAGCGATAATTTTGCCGCCATTTTTCTCTACGTTTCGCGCCCAATATCAAACGACTAATCGAACGACGTCATCGGTGTTCGATTAATATGGCGGTCTTGGGTCGTTTGTAACCGTCGTTTGCAAGCGTCGCGTCACTGTAATTACGGGATATAACGTTTCGGTGCACTCGGGATCGTGGCTCAAGTTTACGGAAAAAAGTTTTATGAAGTGTTAAAGATTGCGTGGTAAACTAAGACAGAAGCTATTTAGCAAGTTCATCGCGATCAATTTAAAAGTAGAGGCATGCGAGACTGTTAATACGTTTCTCGGCTGTGAGACTGAATAGAGAAGTAATCATTTATGACTCTGGTTGTTTTTATCGTGGAATTAATTAACCATGAGTGACCGTCATAAATATCCAAACAGGATTCGAGTAGATTATCTATTCAAACGATTTGTAAATATCGATATGACGGTAGAATGACAGAATGATAATGATCAGTAGAATATGAGAAAAAAAAAACTAGATTTTTAATACTAAGAGTATACGAGAAAAATAGAGGAATATCGTCTTTATAATAAAAGACAATATAGAGTGTGCGTGACCAGCCTCGTCAAATAGAGACTTCTATCCCGTGTCTATCTAGTTCCTTACTGTCGCATCGTTTAAACTACGAGATCAGATAGTGTTAACCTTCGCGGACCAGTTTGTAACACGTGTCCCCACGGGTCGTTTTCGCGGGTTAACGTTTCTACCGTGAGCCGCGTACAGATTGCTGACAAATAATTCAGAATCAGGCAACCGGCGTGTCTGTCAGGAGGTTGCTAGTGAAAAATCAATGTTGCTCAGCTGCCAACGATAACCGTGGGCTTCATGTGAGCGTGACATCGGTTGCAGCGACAGAAGCACGCTTCACTGCGCAGGCCGGTGCGCAGTCATGTTCCCTACTGACATCGCTAGGGAATTTTTCGTGATTCGGGTGAATGGACGAAGAGTTACGCGCGCCGAGGAAATACGAGTTTATTCACGAGCTGAGATGAAAGAAAAAGACGGAGAAAGTGTTCGACTTGAAAGAGGGAATTGATCTGCGATAACAAAACAAGGAATGCCTTGGTATATAACGAACTCTGAAAGTCTTTCCATTGTTTCGAATACGTACGTGACGAACAGAGTTAAATCGCTTTGGCCGTGATTGGTTGTTTGAAACTTTTGAAAATCTACATGTCACTTGGTGGGTACTTTCTTTTTCTAAAGCACCATCGAGATTCAAGATTCGCGAGAGCTTAGTGTCGAGTTATATTTGAAAATTGAAATCGAGTTTCGAATGCTCATTACTTTCGAATGCAATTACATTATCAAGCGTAACGAGTAGTGTACGAGGTGAATGTGCAAGAGCAAGAGGGAGGGATGTGTGCAGAGCTATAAGGGAAACAGCGGAAGATAAAGAAGACCACTGAATACCGACTGGAAGAATAACGGTGCAGAAGTAGATTGGATTGTAGCAGGAGAAAAGGACAGCGGTCGCAGCAACAACGTAAGTGCGAATAAAGTAAAATAGAGTAACAGTAGAGAGTGGAAGCACACGGATAAGAGGTGAATTTCTAGTCGCCGTGCATACGTGTTCGTGTGTGTAGCTAGTCTCTTCGACTCACTACTAACGGCTAGATTAGCAATTAACGAGGAAGTCGTAACTCCTTCCAGCGAAGGAGGTAAAAGAAGGGAGGAAGAAAAGAATCGGCAGCTTTATCAGAATGGAAATTGCTAACGGTGCGCCATGCTGCCAATTAGAGTCGCGAGAACAAACGACCTCGTCCGACTTCTTCTTTCGATTCTCGACGAGCTGCGCGAATTCTATTGCTCGTAGGAGGAGAGCGAGCATTATATAGTGCTATGCATAGCCCTAATGCGATTTAAGAGGAGTACCATTGCCTTTTACGCGGCGATATTATAGATCGCCGCGTCTATTACTATACTTTATTTATAGCCGTGTGTTTTTTGGCGCCAAGTTGCGCGACGTTTCCTGCGCGCCGCCATTATGGCGAACGCTAGAGGGCGTTTGTTAAATTCGAAGCGCGAATCAAAGACGCTTACGTTTCGTTGTTAGCCGTTTATTATTATTTTCGTTAAACGGCAACGTGATGTAGTATCTCTGCTTTATTTTTTTCGTCTGATGAATAGTTAATAAAAAATATTTTATTCTTCCCTTTTGTCTTCCGAATCAAGCAATCCATCTATATCCGATTATATGACACGCAACATCGCCGCATTTATGATACGATCATCATTCATCGTTAAACGAAAACATCACTTTACTCGTAATCATTTATTCGTTTTTAATCATTTACTCATTTTATTCGTAGGAGATTACCGATTAATTGATTGAAAATTGAAATTTTCAAACTAGACTCAGAGATAGCGAACAGCTTCGTTAATCTTGATAATCTTGTTTGCATAATTATGATTACGTGATTAATGATTGATTTAGTGATAAATGTCAGAATAAAAGATTGAAAAAGATTGTTTTTAATTTACCTTAACAGTCTGTCCAGCCTTTAGTGTTGGCTTGTCCGGATCAGGGACGTAATCCAGCGTGATTCCGTAGAATTGTCCCTTGTTAATATATGTGATTCTGTCGTCCTCGCGACGCTGCGACGTGCTAATTGGCGACTCCAAATGATACTTGAACCCATAGGCAGAGAATCTACGTTCAAATCATACTTTATTAGAAATCATTCTTTTACCCGCTTGAATAATTTGACGCATACTGGCAGTGTTGATGACGTATATTGGTTTATCAGCGATTAGCCGATAACAATACAAAGTCGATATCAGATTTCGATCATGACTATCAGTTTTTCCGTCCAAAAAAAGCCTTTAATTTCCATGTATCATATATTTCCATTATCATATATTTTTATAATTATGTTGTAATCGGCGTATGATTTTCTTCCTTTTTTCTTTTCCTACTTACCTAAGCAAACAGAGGAATATAATGAGCTTATAATTACACGACGTTGACACTTCTATGTATTTTATAACCGTTTCCATTGAATCTTATTTGTGGTTTTCGTCGCAAATATTCCGCACGAATGACGCGTTAGTCATCGCGACACAACCAAGATGCATCTATTGTCTTCGAATCTTTTATATTAAATCGCGCGTACACATTGTATTAAATCGCGTGTACAAAAAAAAAAGAAAAGACACAAGAGTTCTTTACATCCGGCAGATTGGAAATTTGCGTGACTAGTTACCAGATGGGGGATCAAATTCTGATTATTAAATTAAACGAAGTTATTAAACGAAAATTAGGAAAGTAAATCGAACAGTAAATTGTACGTAATATTTCTCGAGCGCTTTCGAGCAAAACAGGCAAATAACCGACGTTGTGTATGCGTGTCCGCGAAAAATAATCACGACGTTGAAAACAAATTAAAAACGAATCATTATCTTAAACTTTCACGACTGAAATCTCCAAGCTATTTTCTAACACCGATTACCGACGTTCCATTACGCGAACTTGCGCGAACCAGCTACCAGTTTCTCTCGAGACGACGACGCGATTAACCCAGGCCAGTCATTCTAAATATAGTGCCGCGAAAAGCGAAATAAAAGGCCCGATTATCCTTATCCGAGGGAAGCTTTTCCCCAGTGGCGGAACGATGGCGTATCGCGGCCACAGGTACATGCACACAATCGACGCACTTTCCGCCGCCGACCTATTATCTTTATCTTGCGCGACGACACGCGTCGCGCTTTTGTATTCGCCACGTTTTTTCTGTCACTGGTCGGAGAACAACGAGGGCAGCGCGGTGCGTACGAGCCGATAACCCCAGCCTGGCCAGGGTGAACGGCCTACGACGAGCCTCCTGTTCTCCACACCGACGCCTACCCGGCAAGCCTCATTACAACGTATCTTTGTCAGTTTCTGCTCACCGTAAAGATTCTCCCTGTTTTATTTTCACTAGCGCTCTTTTTTAAGTTCTCTGTTGAGAGGAGGAATTTCGAAGTCAAATTCGGAAGCCAAAATTCGGAACATTCTTCGCTCAGATTCGATTTGAAACGAACGAGAGAAAAGGAAAATTTTCAAACGAAGAATCGGAACAGCGTGTAAATGGGTACTTACATTTTTGGTATCTGGATTTTGTCCGCGTCGTTCTGCCTGCCGAAATCGTGCCAAGGTCGCGACCTCGGAGGGTTCGGGTTAGGATTCGGGTTGGCCGCCG